CCCCCCCTTCAAGACCCTCTTTCATGTTCAAGGTGTTTCTATAAACACCTGTTTGGTATTATACGGTGCAATGCCAGCTTGTAATCGTTGCGAAAAGTTAAACCGTTTCAACTTTTCGCGAAATTTGTCTTAATGCAACGGAAACAGATATAGGTTCGTGACATGGAAGAATTGGTTACACGTTGCAATGTGTCGCGAAACCTGTCTCAGACAGGTTTCACAAATTGTTGCATCGTGTAATAAAGTCGGTATAAATAGGCCTTAGGCTTAGCAGTTATCAAGTAAAGTTGGGCAAAATCTAAAAATGAAAATGCCATGTACATGCATGAAATGCCATATCAATTTTTTTATTTGGTGTATCCATGTACACAAACTAATTTAAAATTTTTGATTTATTGATTGAAGTGAGTTTTATTAACATTTAAACATTTGTATTCTGCATGGTGTAGGCTTTATTATCACGATCCTGAACTGATTCCAGCACAAATGCAATTTTAACTTTTGAAAGTGTTTCAAAGCGGCGTGCTTTTTCTGATATTGCAGATCCTGGTGAAATATCTGCTTTATTTACGACATAATATTATAAAAAAGTTGGATAGGATAAAGACAATCATCATTTTAATGATATATAAAAATATCTGGTGTAGCTAAATTAAAAACAACATTCCTTTAATATTTAACAATTAAGGAAACGTTTTTCTCATTAAGAAATAATAGTAACCTTTTTGTGCATTTTTTTGCACAAATTTTAAAACAAAAAATTGAAATTTTCCACGATATTATACATTTAATTAAGCATGACATTTAAAATATATTAATTAAAATATACCGATAGCCAATCGGAATTGCAAGTTTCTTTTACTTTCACATTAATTTAACATTTTAATAAAGATGTTCAGTTAAATTATCGTGGCTTGCCCAATCGCATTGTGAATCCACACTATATTAAAAATGCTGGCGTACATATACTATATTATATGCGTCTGTAACATTACTGAAAACATTAGTTGCTAGCCTTGTTCAATAATATGAAGATCACAATTCGAGGAAGTTTATTTTTTCATATCTTGCTGACCATGCATTGCATCGATGGATACAAATCAAAGCAGACCATATTCAAACTATTTCCAGGACAATGTAAGTCGTCTGTGTAACATCATATAGTTTATATGTGCATGCATGTGATAAAATAAATCAGTCTTGGATCTATTACTGTACATAATCTTTTATTTTCTTATAATATACGCTTAATATATATCTGATTATTTTTTGGCTCCATTATTTCGTATATTTTTCTAACATATTTTCAAGTGATCTTATACATGCGAGAAATTAGGTATCACCTTACAACGAAGCGACAAAGTAAAATGAAACTTATCATGCAATAACAAGAAATTGTAGTGCACATGCATGTAGTTGTTTGCGCGGTGTGTGACAAATGTTGTTGTTTGTTGAAATCGTTTCCGATAGCTACGTTAATTTTGTTATAGCGCTTTTTGGCTTTCTATAACGTTTTGACGCTGTTGCACCTCATGCAGCCAGTTCGCCACACCAGTTCAGTTTCCCATAATTCTGAGCGTCAAAATGGAGCAAATTTATGAATTTTCATGCACGCCGAAGATCTTCGGCGCAAGCTACAAACTTTCCACCCTAGGCCAGGGCCATGCATGTTTTCATGATCAGTTGCCAAAAATTCATTCGCTGGGAAAGACTTTTAAAAATAAAACAAATTTCAATAGAGAAAAATTATATGAATTCGAACAAGATAATAACAAGGTGACAGGGATTTAGGCTTCAATAAAAATCTAATTCCTCAGGTTAAAAACTAATGCGAGGTTTTAGTTGATTTGCAGTAATTAGAATGCCAAAACTCAAAAGGCAAAGAAAGTCGAAATATTACTTTATATACATGCATGTTTCGGCGTTCAACGCCTCGTCAGTGCAGCTTGGTACACGTCTAGATACGTGAGACAATCGTATTTATATCCCATGAACTTGCTCTCACCAAGGCATGTGGTACAACAGCAAGAGAAAATCTACGATATGAACCAATATCAAGCAGTAGTATATATATATATATATATATATATATATATATATATATATATATATATATATATATATATATATATATATCGCATTTTACTTATGTTAAATTCCCATTGTATTTATGCATGTTTTGGGTGTTGAAAAAGTGGCATTGAAATATTCTGGAGTAAATTGTACTTTTTTACAAGGGAACTAAAATAAAATTACATCAGTGAATTCAGGAATGTTTACTCTTTATATTGATACTTTAAAACATGAATTTACTCCATAAAACCGAAGAGTTATCGCGGTTTGAAAATGAGCTATTTTTGCTATATTCGATAATTAGCAAAAATAGC